GAGTGCAGTGGAGGATGGCCCAGGTCCTTGGGCCCTTGCACCAGTACGGAGACCAGGAGAAGCACCTGGCTCCTGCCTTCGGATCAGCGCAGTACGCTGGCCGTAACGCGCCGGCCGTAGCGGCCACTGGGGAGTGAACCAACGGCTAAAGGAAGACCTTTCTCTCTGTCTCTCTCTCTCACTGTCCACTCTGCCTGTAAAAAAACAAAAACAAAAGCAAAACAGAAAACATATGAACTAACTAGATCAAAAAATCAAGACTCAAGCATATACTGCCCACAAGAAACTAACTATTAAAGACATAAACACACTGAAAAATAAGGAAAGAAGAAAGGCATTCCAAGAAAATGGAAAACAAAATTCACAATTCCTGTTACTTCACACTCCCACTAGAACATAGAACACTCTGGAAAGATGGGTAGCTAAGGAAGTAGTTAGATGTTTCTCTTGTAATTTCTTTCAAACTAGAGACCGATTGGATGGAGAGAGCAATACAGACCTGAGGGAAAGGCTTCCTATTGGCACAGTTATGCCCCCAATAAACACCATGTTGGGCATGATGGGCCTGGGGTAGTCCAGCACAAAGTCTCCTCGGAACAGCCACACGGACGCATGGCTGAGAATATCCACCAAAGACACCTCTCTCTGAAAAAGCTCAGATGCCAGGCTCGCATACAGATCATAAGAAATGTAGCAAATGTACTTCATCATCAGAGGGTAGAGCATGTTCTTGACTCTTTGCAGGAAGCTCATGTGGTCTGAATTCATTGTTAGCATCCTAGGAATATATGAGGAAGGGTTCGGGCACTGTGTGCCCTCAAAGTCCAAGTCACAAGGGACAAAATGCAGAAAAAACACAGCAGGAACCGACAGGTACTTAGCCAGCAGTGCCCCACAGGGGAAAACCGGGTCAGTTAAGACCACATCGAAGGAACTCTCATTCAAGTGCCTGATCAAGGGTTTGCTGTGCAGTAGCTCCCAGCAAGTCCTACTGTACAGCATCGAGGCATTTTTCATGTTTGCAATAGTTTCCAAAAATATCTGCAGAGAATGCTGTGGTTTAAAGATCATTTGACTGTGGCTCTGCACCATGTGGTCAAATTCTTCCTTGCTGTAAGGGGTGGCGTAGGTTTGCAGGGTGAAAAAGTCCTCTCCTTTGATGTGCATGGTCACCTCGGGACCTAGGACCAGGGCTTGGTGTCCTCGGGCGTGGAGCTCCTGCACAACCTCCCGCAGGCTGAGCCAGTGGCTTCCCTCCATGGGCACCACCAGCACCTTGCCGCCCTCAGCCCAGGGCAGCACACACAGCAGGAGCAGCAGCCCCGCCAGCCGCTGCAGGGGAATCCACACTCCCAGCACCATTACAGAAGAAGCCAACAGCACCGCACTGTCCACACTGGGTTGTGCCTCCTGCACTAGTTTCTCCAGTCATTATATGCTGTCAACAGGCTGCTTATCACATCAGCATGTCATTGGATGCCACGGTGCCCTCCTCAAGTTAATCATTGTGGAATAAACTATCCTCCTCTCTATGAATGCCCTACCCTCTGCCTCCACCAAGCAGAGATTGATCTGAAGGCCCAATCTAAGCGAAACTCATCTGACCCTGCAGCTCTCTCTGGGGACATCCTAGTTCAATGTCTTGTGTTTCCAATGATCAAAACAAGACTTTGGACACTGATATTGATATGTGCTATGTGGGCAGCTTTTAGGATCTGTTGGGCTAGAGGTAACATATCACATGCTATCTCTCCATGTGTCATTCTATCCTCTTACTGGTCAATCAAAATGTCTCCTTTCCCAGGATGCATCTGCTTCACCTGATCCCTGCAAGTAAGACTGCAAAGAAATACAGACACTAAACTCCACATTCAGCTCATAGTTGTGCCATCAAATACCCTAGATGCCTTCTTGTCCATAGGGTACCCC